CGAGTGGGCGGGGCACTCACGCTGTGGCCCCCGGACTTGTGCTTGAAGCAGGTGATAGACACAACGTAAGGCCAGTCGTCCGGCTCCATGAGGACCCCGGCGGCGTGGGCGCAAGTCACGTGGAACGACGTGGAGCAGTGCTCACAGGAGCACTGGATGCAGGCTCCCGACACCTTCTTCATCCGTTTCCGGCAGTACACGCACTTCTGGGGGGACACAGACGAAGCCGGGCTGGGAGGTCTTCCCGGAAAGGCCCTCGAGACCTGGGGCTGCAAGGCAGTGGCCCCCGCGGCTGGCGTGGGGGGAGGCACCGGGGGCAAAGCCCGCAGAGCTCCGTGTGGCCGGAGTCCCCCAAACCCAGCCAGCGGCTTCCCCCAGGAGCACTTCCGGATTCTTCTCCACACACCCTCTCTGCAGGGCTGCCTAGGACAGTCACTGAAGAGCCAGCCACGGGAACGTCCCCGAGCTGCGAGCAGGAGCGAGGCGCCCACATGCGCTGCCCCGGGGACAGACCCCGAGCCCACGACGCTCAGGGAGGGAACCAGACAGAGAAGGCCACACGGGGTGTGAGTCCACATGGGTGACACGTCCACGGACAGGAAGGGGGCTCGTAGGTACCAGGGTCTGGAAGGGGAGGGGATGTGACAGCTGATGGGGGGGGCTCCTTTTTGGGGAGATGGAATGTTCTGGAACTAGATCATGGTGATGGTTGCCCAACTCTGGGAATGTACTAAAAGCTACTAAAATTGGGAATTCTACCTTCATTTTGAATATAAGGCACCGTGGGGGGTTGCCTCCTCCACGAAGCTGCTCCCCACCGCCCCCCCACCCTGGTCCAGGCTGTGGGACAGCCCTACCCCCCCACGTGCCGTCACTCTGAGCATTTACTAAGCGGGCCTTTATCGCTCTGTAAACCATGTTCAAAAGCCAGATACGCAGCGCAGCCAAGGGCGCCGCAGGAACGGCACCCAACGCCGATCGATGGCAATGAGATCTCATTATTAAACTCTCAATACCTAATCCCCGCCAGCCTGCGGGGACAGGCGCGGATCCGTGGCATTAACCCTCCAGTGCGCGCCGACGGGAAGGCACAGGGAGGCAGGGAGCAGCCCCAGCGCAGGGAGCGGAGGCCCCGCCACCAAGCCAGTGGGGCGCCGAGCAGTCCCGCTGCACCGGCCACAGCCGGGCTAGAGCCGGGCCGACCCCACGGTGGAGACCCAGGGGAACCCGACGGCTACGCCTGACAGCACAAAACATTTCAGCCCGTGGGTGGCGACCCCTCATTCTGAGCTTCCCCATCAGTCAGAATGCGGGCCAGGCCCCCGCCGTGCCATCTGTCAGGAGCCCCTGGTGCTGGGCATCTGGGTCTCCCTTGGAGGCTGCAGAAGGGTGTGCAGGGGGGCGGCAGACATTAGTGGAGAGCAGCGGTCTGGGGGAGCCAGGGGCCACGGGTGGGGGTGACGCTGGCCGGGGAGGCTGCTCCCACCTGCAGACACCCACCCCCCACCACACATACACACACCAGGTCCCATGTCCTCAGCCTGCCCCTCACGCCCACCCACCAACCTGCTTTGGGAAATGCCTGCCCTCCCCCCTCGTACTGACTGAGGTGAGCCCCTCCACCTCGAAGCAGGGCCAACAAGAGGGCAGAACTGATTCCAAGCGCCTGTCCCCAGCCAGCCGTGCCTCTACTGCCCCCCCCAAACTGATCTTTCCCACTCGGGAGTCCCCACCAGACCTTGAAGTTCTTCCGGGGATCATCCCAGCCTGGTGACAGGGGGGAGCATGGGCGCAATCTGGGCTCGGCCACGGCATGGACGGGGCCACCCCCGCTAGCCAGGACGCCTGCAGCGCCCAGGGCCAGAGGCCAGGTAGTCATGGGGACAGATGGACGGATGACCAGGAGTGACCATCCCTGAGCCTGTGGCCAGCATGTGGCTCTGGAAGGTGGGCGGGCGGCTGGGCAAGCAGGAGTTAACTGCTGGCTTCCTTGCGAGGCTCCATTAGGCAGTACAAGTGAGCCTCGTGTAGAAGGATTTTTAATTCATCGTTACAAGTGCTGGTAATGAAGAGGCTGCAAGCTGGAAATGTCAGATGATCCATAAAGCGCCTGGGAGGGAGGATCTATCACAGGCACCGCGCACCGCGCCATCACTCCACCTGAATAATGAAGCCTTTTACGCCCGCTTTCCTGGAGGAGTCACCTGCAGGCCACCGGCCTCTTCCTAATCACCTGTCCGCACCGGGCAGGGCTGGTGCCGGCCGCCCCACACCCCCTGGCCGAGGCCCCCCGCCCCTCCCACACGGGCTCCTCCAGCTGGCCACTCAGCCCTGCCAGGGGGCCCCACACCTGTGGGCTCTGAGCACCGCGTCCCCACAGGACTCCCCGAAAGGCCCACTGGCCGAAGCCCTCTCTGCCTCCGGCCCGCCCACAGCCTGGAGGAACGGCACCCCTGGAATGCCCTGGCAGCCGGGAAACCAACAAGCTGGGAAAAGCAGCCAGATGCTGTCAGGTGCCACGAGAGAGCCTGGCAGAGTCCCCCATGCGTTTCCACGGCAAAGCAATGATGAGGTCACGGCAAGGAGGGGCCTGAGAGCAGGAGCTGGTGCTCAGATGGCCCAGCCGGCGCCAGACGGCCGGGCCCAGTTACCATTGGCCACGCAGGAGGCCATGAGCGGCCCACCATACAGACGGGAAGGCCGAGGTACACGGAGGCCAAGGGAGCTGTCCAAAGTCACGTGGCCGGCCGGCGGCTTGCTCACAGTCACACTCTGCCCACTCAGCCTGCTGTTCCCAAGGCTCCCCCAGGGTGACCATCATTGGTGAGAGGAGGAGGTGGGAGCCCCTCGAGGCCACACTCCACCTGAGGCCTTGCAGAGGGAAGTGCCGTGTGCATCCAGAGGGGCCAGCTACGGAATTCCTACAACTCAGCAGCAGCAATTTAAAAATTAGCAAAGGACCTAAGCAGCCAATTTAAAAATTAGCAAAGGACCTAAGCAGCCAATTTAAAAATTAGCAAAGGACCTAAGCAGATATTTTTCTAAGAAGACATATAGATAGGTGGCCAAGAGGCATACGGAAAGATGCTCACCGTCCCTCATCGTCAGGGAAATACAAGCCAGAACCATGAGATACCGCCTCACGCCTGTCAGAATGGCTAAAATCAACCACACCAAAACCAGCAAATGTTGGCGAGGATGCGGAGAAAGGGGAACCCTTATGCACTGTTGGTGGGAATGCAAGCTGGAGCAGCCACTCTGCGAACAGGACGGAGGTGCCTCAGAAAGTCAGAGAAACCACCACCAGGGGCGCCTGGCTGGCTCAGTTGGTAGAACATGCAACTCTTGGTCTCAGGGTTGTGCATTCGAGCCCTGAGTGGGGTATAGAGATTACTTAAAAAAAAAAAGTTAAAAAATATAGAACCACCATGCGATCCAGGAATTCCACCCTAGGGTGCTGACCCAAGGAAATGAAAACAGCACCTCAGGGAGGCATGTGCCATCCCGTGTTCACGGCAGTATTGTCTATAGCGGCCAAGACACAGGAACAGCCACGTGTCCACCAGCGGAGGAACGGAGAGAGATGTGGCGTGTCCACACGGTGGACTACTACGCGGCCACAGAAAGAAGCAAATCCTGCCATTGGCAACCACACAGCCGGGCCCGGACGATGTTACGCACAGCGAGAGGGACGGGCCCAGAAGGACACGTCCCGCGTGACCCCACTCAGAGTCAAACTCCAGGACGCAGAGAGCAGGAGGGTGGCTGCGGGGGCGGGGGGGCGCGGTTCGGGGCGTGTAACGCTCAGTCACGCACCACGAGCAAGCGCACGCTCTGCCGGCTGCATGAGGGGCTGCCGGGGCGCCGGGAGGCTTGTCAGAGTGCGGGGCTCACGGTAATCAGACAAGCCCGGGGCAGAGCGAGGGCAGCCTCCCCCACGCGGGAACGCACGAGCTGCACGCTGCACTCTGCCTCTGCACAGAGACCCCGGAAGCCAGGGGCCAAACTCAAATCAGAGGCATCTGGCGACCGGGCAGCCACCCTGCACCCCCCCGGGGGCACGATGCCGGGGCACCTACCAGCTTCCACCGCTGCTCGGGGATGGCGCTGATGTCCACGGGGTGGCGCTCCATCACGTTCAGGAAGCGCACTTCGGGGACGGCGATGGCACAGATCACATGGATCCACCTGGTGGGGGGGCGGGGGGCAGGCTGGGGTCAGGACTCACAGGTGCACCCCACCCTGGGCCCTGGGGTCATCTCGTAGCTGCTGTTCCCCCCCCGCCCCCGCCAGTGCCGCCAGCCGGTTGGGGCTTACAGGACCTTAGGGATGTTCTGGACCAGCGGCTCCTCCTGGTCCCCCCACATGCCTCAAGGCTCGAGGCCACACACCCAGGAGGAGCCCCCGCCACCCACCTCCGGTCGGTTGTCATCTGCAGGGCTCCTCCCCGGAGGTTGCAGAGGCAGCACTCCTGCGGGAACCAGACAACCACAAGGTGAGCGGGTTTCTGCCCTGGGACCTGCTCCGGCCTCTGCCCGCAGCGCTTACATTTCAAACTAGCGGCCATGGAAGGGACTGGCCGGGGGTGGGTGGGGGGGTGCATCGGGCTCCACCCCCTCGCTGCCGAGGTTGAAGAACCCGGGTCCCAGGCCCAGCTCCTCCCCAGGCCTCAAAGGCTTTCGGAGCACCACCCAGCTGCAGGGGTGAGTTACCGCAGTCCAGGCGTGGGCCGTGCACCGGGAACACGTCCAGCCCTCATTGACCAGCTCGGGGCGGATGCCGTAGCAACCTGCAAGACAGGGGAGGGGGCAGCTGAGACGAGGCGGCATCTGTTGCCAGGCCGCATGCAGAGCCGATGGGGCCTCCTGGAATTCGGCGGCAGCATTTAGGGCAATTGCTCTCCCCATTCTCTCTCCCTGAATCCAGGCCACTGCGCGCAGCGGGAACGGTCTGGAAACGGCTCGTTTGGAACGCAAGTAGGGGGAAGGAGAGCAGGGCCCCCTGCTGGGGCTGCTCAGCCCGGGCAGCCCTTGCTGTCTCCATTCTAGTCTCGTCTAGTCAAGGAGGCCCTGCCCAGGCTCTGCAGGCCAGGGAGGCTGGCAAGCCAGGAAAGCAACCCCGCAGTTGTGCACGACTCGACGCGGGCCTCGTGGATGCTGCAGTTCAGACGGCAGAGCTGAGCCGGCTGGGCCCTGTGTTCAGGCAGAATCACTACTTGGGAAACCAGAAATTGGAGGCTCTGGGTGATGAAGGTTTGCTTAGGACCTTGGTCCTGGTTTAGAAATGGGGAGAGGGCGTGGAGGAGGGGAGCAGAGGGTCAAGAGCCCGTGCCCTGGAGTTATCATCCAGCAGCACCCTCGGCTGGCTGGGGTACTGTCACCTGGCCAACGGGCTCTGCTGCCTGGAGTGGGCAGTGGCCAGCGCCAATGGGCCCCAGGGGGAACACAGGGAGACAGCAGGGCGGCAGAGAGGTGGTCTTCTGCTGTGTCCCCACAGAGGCCCTGAGGCACAGCAAAGCGCGCGAGAGCCAGAGCCCGGGCCCCTGCTCTGAGCCCTGGGGGGCACTTAGCCAAGCTCCAGGCCTAGTGGGGGCCTGACTCCTGGAGGAAGAGTGGGCTCCACCTCTCTCTAGTGCCCGGTGTCAAGGACGATGCTGAGCCTCTGCCCCACCCCCACCCCCCGCCCCCCGGGCTCGTTCCCGCCTGTGCAGCCCGACTCAGTCCCCTCCAGAGGGTGGGCTCAGCCTGGGCCTGCACCGCCGTCCCCCGGGGGCCTGCCCGCCCAGGAGCACGCCTCACACCTGGGCCCAGCAAGGCAGAGCAAACGGGCTCCTAGCCAGGGGACAAGATGAGCTCTGGGCAGGCCTCTACAGGGGCTGGATAGAGACCTACGGCTGCCTCCCTCTGCTAGGCAGCCCATGGGGCTGAACAGCTCCAGAAAGCCTCCTTCCCGTCCTGGAGGCTCAAGCTCGCATCTGCTGCCCCTCATGCCTGAGAGAGGGGCAGACATCCATTTTCTTGTCTCAGGCTCAGTCGGGCCCTCAGGCTTTGGGAGAGGGTGGTCGCCTGTGGCAGAGAGAGATCGGATCCCCTGGACCACTCTAGAATCTCAGCTTTACCCTCTGACTCCTGCCCCAAAGCGTGCAGTTTAAAAGTGTCACAGCGCATTCAAATGAGGTGACGGGCACCTCGTTTCTTCCTGCTGCTGCCGAGAGGGGAGGACAGGCCTCAGTGGCACCGTCAGAATCGGCCAGGGGGAAGGCCACCCCGTGACACCAGGTCCTGTGACAGCCCCCGAACAGCAGCGCAGAGGGAAGGGGCTTGCTGGCTCCGCAGACCCAAGGGTGGCCACCCAGGGAGAGTGAAGCAGGGGGCCACCCAGGGGGGGCCACGGAGCCCACAGCTGCCCGCCCCCCGGCCGCCGGCGCGGACCCAGTACTCACTGGCGTGCACCTGCAGACAGCACTTGGCACAGGCAATCAGCAGGCTGGTGCCGTCATCCCCAATGTAGGAATTGGCGGGGAGGGGCTCCGTGTTCTCACCACTGGAGGTGAAGCACATCTCGGGGATCAGCGGCCGTGTCTTCTGGCCACTTTTGGAAGGAGGAGCAGCCGAGGGACCCTCCCCGAGGGAGGCCTGGGGAGCCTCCTTCTCGGTCTGTAGGGACTGCAGGAGGAGGGGGCTGCCTTCAGTGGGGAGTCTGGGACACCTGACATGGCCAAAGCAGGCCAGGCACCATGGCTGTCCTTGACTCTGCCCTCTACCGCCCCAAATACCCCCTTGGCCTGCTCCTCACTCTCCCCTGCAGTTGCCCCATCCCACCCTCCCAGCCCTCAACCCCGACCCAAGAGCCCTCAAGAGATCCTCCTCAAACACAGCCAGACCCTGTCCCGTCCCCACTGAAAACCCTCCCACTTAGGGTCACATTGGCAGAGACACTGTCCTGCTGCCCTCATGCCCCTCGATCGCTCTGCTCCAACCACACCAGCCTCCTCGCTCGGCCTCCAACACCCCAGGAGCCAGGCACCATCCCGCCCCGGGGCCTCTGTCTGTGCCATTCCCACTGCCGTTCCCACTGCCAGGAACATCCAGATGTCTGCTCATGCGTGCTCTAGAGCCCAGCCCGCCCACAAGACCAGGGGCCCCCAGCCCTTCACCCCTGGTCTGTGTGTTCTTGTGATCCTGACCATGACCTGACACTGTTTTATCTGTGAACCTACACAGTTTTCCCTACCTCTGACATATGTCCCATAAAGGCCGTACCCCAGTCCTTGCTGAGTCCCCCAGATCCCATCACGTGAACAGATCATGATGAAATCGTCCTGCCCATGGCACCCAGGTCCCACACCCTCCAGGCCTGTCTCAGGACACCCACAGAGGAGTGGTAGGAGGACTCTGCACTCCCCTGACCCGGGAGGGAAGAGCTCTGGCGGAGGCACCCTGCCCGCCACCTCGGGTTAAGGGACCGGCTGGTTCCCAAACAGGCAGAATGTCCAGGCGCGACGTTGACCACCCTCACGGGACAAGCGAGGCCTGGTCCCTGACTCCGAGGGCTCTGACAGCAGAAGCCCACCGGAGCTGTGGGCACAATGAAACTTTGCCACTGGACTCAAGGAGATTCGCATCTCAGGCCGGCAGTCCCAGCACCCTGACTCCCAGCAGCACTAAAGAGGGCCACGCCTGGAGAAGCCATGTGTTCTGTCCTGTTTGTCTGCAAACATCTGCATGGAGACAGCGCTCCAGGCAGTGCGAAGCAGCAGTGCCCTTAACACGAGCATGCTGCCCTCGGCTCAGGGCACAGTCCTCAGGGCGGCTCAGCTAAGTGGGCACTAGGCTAGGAGCCTGGAGATTGAGCCCTGTCCTCCAGGGACTCACAGTCCAGGGGCTGATAAACACAGACAGCAGGACAAGAGCAGAGGTGGGGGGGAGAGCCTGGGGGGCGGGCGGGGTGCCCGGGGACAGCAGGTCCAGGAAGGCTTCATGGAAGAGAAGGCAGCTCAGCAGACTCAAAGAATGAACAAAAATCTGTCTGGTAGGGCAGGGGGCCGGGTAGGTGGGTGGTTGGGACCCTGGGGGTCAGCACGGAGCACACTGTCACTGTGTGCGTGGTGGGGGGCAGATGATATGGCAGAGGAAGGCTTCGGGGGCAAACTGCGAGTCCGGGGCCTGTGGTGAGCCTGGTGGAGTTTCCAGCCAGGGAGCACATGACCGGCGTGGCCTCCTGAACATGTGCCCGGGCCTCAGTCAGGCACCGACAGGAAGGGCTCCTGCCAGGGCAGGTGAGGAAGAAAGAGCTAGAAGGCAGGTCAGGGTGACAGCATGAGGGGGAGGGGCGACAAGGTTAAGTGGGCAGGACCTGGTGGCGGCTGACAGCATGAGACAGAGGCCGGGGAGAGGCCAGGTCCCCAACTTGGGAAACAGGCGACAGAGCGGGACCCAGCTCGGAACAAGTGCCTGGCTCGGCAGAGGCCACTTGGGGGCTCCTCACGGGGTCCGTCCCGCTGGGTGAGGCAGGGCGCTTGCCCTGGACCCAGTCCGCCCCTTGGCTCTCAGGTCCAGGATAAGTCCCTCTCTGGTAAAACTCAGATACCAGGCTCTCTCTGCTTCTCCCTACAGCCCTTCCAAGGGAGCCTTCGGCTTCATGTGCCCCCAAATGCCCAGGGCTTCCCCTGCACCCGTTGCCCTGTGGCTATCCGGTGCCCCCCTCAGGGCTCCTGTCAGGCCAAGCTCGGCACCGACCCCACGGTGGCTCCTCCAGCAAACGGCTTCTTGGTCTCCACCCCCCTCCCCGGGGCTCCGTCAGGCGGGGTGGACAGGTGCCCCCGCGCAGACCGATGCTGCCTCCCCCCCGCCCCCCGCGGCCGGCCCGGCGCTCACCTGGCTGTAAGGGTAGAAGAGAGTGCAGATGGCGCAGTAGGGCTCGGTCAGGGCAGCCGCCGCGTTGAACTTCCTCTCGGCCTGGAAACTGGCAGCCTTGTTCTTCCACTGCAGGGAGAGCAAAGACCTCAAGGCCTCGGGGTCACTCATGTCCTCCTCCCCGGAGAAAGGGAAGGCTTCTAGAGGAAAACAGGAGGGCGGGAGGGGACAGAGAGAAACCTAGGCATGGCTGGAGGCCCAGAGGAACCTTCCTTCCCACCCACCCCACCCCGGTGGGCCCGTTACTGCTGCGAGCATCCGTGGTGACAGGTCCCCGAGCTCAACAGAGCCCAGGGAGGAAGACGGCTGGGAGTGGAGGGGCGGTGTCACTCCAACACACTCGGGGACTTAGTGTCACGACCAAGACAGAGGCCACAAACAGACGTGCCCCCACCTCGCCTGTCACCTGCTGCGGCTGGCCTCTGCTGGCCTCACGTACCGGCCAGCCACACCCCAGCCCCCCGAAGTCCCACTGCTGTGTTTCCTGAGGACATGGGGCTGAGCTTCAGTGCCCCGCAGGAGGCTACCCCAAGAAGCGGGGTTCTCATTCCTGAGGCCGCAACCCTCACAGCCGCTGGGCCAGCAAGGCATGGTGGGAAGAGAAAGCAGACAGGAGCCTGGAGTCCTGGGCTTGGGACCTGGGACTCCCCAGAGGGAGGAGGAGGTCAGCGCAGACCCCCAGGGCTGGGCCTGACTCAAGGGCCAAGACTGCTCTGCCTGAGGAGGCCCCACGCAGGCCCAGGCCCCCTGCAGGTGACAAGAGCTGCGGGCCTGCCTTCTGTCACCAAAGATCCCAGGACACATGCTGGGCTCTGGGCTCCCGGTGGTCTCACAGCGAAGAGCTGTGGCTTCACCCAAGGGGCCCGCGGAGTGGGGGTGGGGGAGGCCTTGGAGGCCCCTTCTGGAAATGATGCAACAGCCTTTAGCTGCCTGCAGGGCTCCGGCTGTGTCTGGCCCTCCACTGAGCTCCCCCTGCTCTTGGGGGCTCTGGCCTTGCGATCCCAGGCACCCCCAGAACCCCTCCTCGCCCTAGCCCTCAAATCTAATTCAGAACGAAAGGAGATATCCAGATGCTTTGCAAACTCCACAGGCATCTTACGCGAAAGACCGATGCTGGCTTAGCAGCATTTCTGCAAGAGCCCGCGCTGCCGGCTCTCAGCAGCATCCCGGCCCCAGCTCCACATCGCGTTTGTTCCACCCTCCCCGCGGCCACCAAGGGCCACCAGGAGGAGCCCTGCCAAGCGGGCGGCCCGGCCACAGGTCAGGTCACGAGGCCCGGGTAGCAGCTGCAGCGCTGCTCCCGCATACGGGCACCGGGGTCGCAGAGCCAGGACACGTCCGCGGGGTAGTCCTCGGGCCCGCCCAGCCCTGCGAGCCTCTAGCTCTGAGTCCCTTCTCAAGCCCCGACGCGGGGGTGCGGCCGGCACACGGGGCATGGGCATGCCCTTCGGCTCACTCGCTCGCTGGCCCGCTCTGTAAATGTTCCGGAAGCCTACTCTGCACCAGGCATCCCAGCAGATCCTGAGCCCGCGAGAGGAGAAGGCACAGTCCTCGCCTGCCTGGGGGCAGCTAGGGATGCGGACGCACCGGGGCCACGGGAGCGGGGCGTGGGGGCAGCCAGCCCAGGCCTGGGGGCGGGGGCTTCCGGCAGGGACAGAAGAGGTTCTCGCAGAGCACAAGAGCCGCTGTGTGGTAGGTACCACAGGGACGAACAGCCCCCCGGGCGATAACCCAGCCTCGGCGCCACATGGCACGCCTTCCAGGCAGTTGCTCCGTGCACCTTCCCAGGAGAACGCCTCACAGGACTGGCAGCCCCCGTTTTCCAGATAGGGAAACTGAGGCACACAAAGGTCAATGGCACCCGTGGCCTTGGGCTGTGGTTTGAGCCCCCGTGACCTGCAGCCTGCCCCTCACAGGCCATGGTGTATGTTTTAGGCCCTGGGACCAGCTTTGGCAAAGCAAGCACCCCAAGGTGGGAAGTGGAGTGAATGAGGGTGGGGGCCACGCCTTGGGGTGGCTCTACGGGGCTGCTGGGGCCTGGCTGAGGGGAGCACTGCCGGCTGAGCAGGGGCCGCTGGGGCTGACTCTCCGCATGGGGGAGGGGGTCTGGGGGCCTCACCCTCGTCACTCGAGGCCTCCTGCTTGACCACGGTCAGCGGGGAGCGGGTGGGCGGCTTGCCCAGGGGGTGACGCCGGCTCTTCTTGATCTCCATCTTCAGTTTGGAGAACGTGGGTGGCGCCTGAAAGCGGAACGGGGAGTGTGTGCGGAGGGCATGGTTCGGAGGCACAGCAGAGCCTGGCCCCTCGGGGCAGAGCGGATGGCCTGTGTCCCCGGTCGTGGGTGCGAGGGCCCCTGGAAGGGGATGGCCGGGAGCTACTGGGTTTTTTCTGTGATGAGCCGCGGGGGCTGTTTCAGACGAGCAGGGCTGGGGTGGGAGCACGGGGCAGCGGGACCCCCAGGCCCCAGGGCCCTCCGCCGGCAGCTCCCTCACCTGTACCTCGCTGGCTCCGCTCTCCTCCTCGGGACCCGTCAGCTCCATGGGGGCCGCCTGTTCCTTCCAGGTGGGGCCCCTCTGGGCAAAGTGCTCAAAGGCCTGCTGGCAGGACACGCGGCCCTTGTCACACCCCGTGCCGGGCCGTGGCACCACGTACAGCATGGGGATGATGGGGCGCGGCTTCACCTCCGGCTCCTCGCCGGGTGCCTCGGGGGGCACGACGTTGAGAGGTGGCGGTGGGGGGTTCTCTTCAGCTGGCGCGGGGCCCGGGGCCAGTGCCGGGGGCTCCAGCGGGGGCGGCAGTCTGGGCACCTCCTCGGCAGGGAACTGGGTGGGTGGGGGCAGCGGCAGCTGGGGCAAGAGGGGGTGGTGGGGATGCGGAGGACCATAGCCCTTCTTCTTCCTGTCGCTCTTGGCCTTGGCCGGCCGCAGCTTGCCCCTCCCGTCTTCTGTGGGCAAAGAGGAAAGACAGGTCAGAGCTGAGGCCAGCGCAAGCCCCTGCGCCAAGGCAGGAAGTGACCTTCCCTCCGCAAAACACATGCTTCCAGCAAGTTCAAACTACTGGCGGCCCAAAACCAGTCATGCCCGAGCCTTGGGGTTGCCCCTGGTCCCTGTCCTCCTGGTTCTGCCAGGTGCTCCAAGGGCCTTCTGGAATTAGTAGTGAGAAAGCAGCTGGGAGGAGCTGCTTTGTGGTTCTAGGCTCCTGACTGGGGGGCGGGGGCCGCTCCAAGTGTCCTTCCTGGGGAGTGGGGCAGACGGAAGATGGTATCCAGGTTCTGTAAGTTACCACGGTTCAAGTGTGCAGCCTGTACCGTTTTTAAAAAGTGAAACCTCAACCAGCAAACCATGAGAAGTGGTCACTCGAGCAGAACACAAGAGTCAGACAGGCCTGGAGGACCACTGTGGAGGGCCGATGCTGGGGGACTCCTGACAGGTGACAGGGCAGGGAGAGGGGGAGGCGAGGCATGTCTGCAGTGGCAACTTAACTGGGGGCCGGGACATCAGATAAAAGTGAATCGGGGGGGCGCCTGGGTGGCTCAGTCGTTAAGCGTCTGCCTTCGGCTCAGGTCATGATCCCAGGGTCCTGGGATCGAGCCCCGCATCGGGCTCCCTGCTCGGCGGGAAGCCTGCTTCTCCCTCTCCCACTCCCCCTGCTTGTGTTCCCTCTCTCGCTGTGTCTCTCTGTGTCAAATAAATAAATAAAATCTTTAATAAAAAAAAAGAAGTGAACAGGGGTATGTTTGGCAGAACCTCAGTCCCCGGAGATGCCCAGGTCCTAGCTCCAGACCTGTGAACGCGGAGCCTGACACGGCAGCAGAGAACTGCAGACGGCACGACAGATGACCCGATGGGCGCAGTGTGCTAACAGGGGTCCTTAGAAGCCAGGGATCTTTCCCAGCTGCGGTCAGAGGGAGGTGCACTGTGGCACTGCTGGCTTTGACAATGGAGGAAGGGCCGCGAGCCAAGGATGCGCTGCGCCCAGAAACTGGAAAAGGCGGGAACACAGTCTCCCCTGGAGCTTCTGGTCGGGGCCAGCCCTGCCCACAGCTGGGAGACCCACGTGAGGCTGCAGACTCCCAGAGTCAGAGCGTAAGTGGGAGTCTGTGGTCACGGTCACAGCAACCCCAGGGAACTCCAGAGGTGGTGGCCTTCGTGAGGCCCGCTGTGCTCAGGGCAAGGCATGCACAACCTCAGGGACCCCTGCCCTCAGGGACAACCAGCCTGGTGGCCTGCTGGGGCGCACAGCCCACAGCACAGTGAGCCCTGGAACCCTCGGGCCCGGTCTGCCGCACTGGAGAATGGGCATGCTAGCTCAGACCCTCGTCTACGTCCCAGCTTCCCAGGGGCAAGAAATCACAGAGGAGTGATGGCGGTGACCATCTGGTCTGCCCAGGGCCGAGGGCTTCCTGGTGAACCCGGGATGAGTTGGTCAGCCTGCCGAGGCTCCGGGCCAGGCCCCTGGCCCTCCCCGCCTCTCCCCACTGCTCCCCATCTGCAGTGCTGCAGCCCAGCCCAGGCTGTCCTGTCCTCCTGTCTTCGGCCACCACACATCCCGTGTTTCTCAAGAGGCTCCACCGGTCCTAAGTAGGAGGGGGTGCCCGCCCCAGCCTGGCTCACGCCCCAGGTCCTGAACATCGCAGGGGCCCGAGCCACTCCGCTTAGAGGGGCCCTGACTGCTCCCTAGGCCCCCCTCCTGCCTGCACCTTAGAAACAGTAATCTGGCTGAGATGAAACCATTTCTCCCCTATAAATGCTGGGCTTGGATGGCCCCGGCAATGGAAGGTAGCCTGTGGAGGTGGGAGAGGTGTGTGCACGTGTGTGTGTGTGGCGGGGGATGTGGAGGTCGGGAAGAGACGTCGGAGGGAGAGGCGTGGGGGGGCTGGGGGAGAGACAGAGCAGGGAGAGATGTGGGGGAGCCGTCACATGGGGGGTGGAGACATGGTGGCTAAGGGGAGACGTGGAGGGGGTGACGTGGAGGGGAGAGTCGGGGCTGGAGGGTGAGATGGGGGCAGGGATGGCGCAGGGCCCCAGGACATCAGGCCCCACAGGCGAGTGGCAAGGCGGATCGGTGGTTCTACTAATTTACAGAAAGGGCAAAGAAGCTGTCCTATTTGTGTAAAAGGCACTTTCCAATAAACAGCTTTGTTCTCTAAGGAAACCCAATACTCCTTCCGCCCTGACAGGGCCGACCTCTCGAATGGAAATCAAGCTAAGCTCTCCCCTGCCTGAGGACAGGGGGACCTACTTACTGTTTACTCTGGAGCAAGAGGCTCTGCTGTCAAAAAGCAACATGCCCGGCCTCTTCCCACATCCTAGACTCTGGGAAACCATGGGAGGACACACCCAGAGGGCCGTTTTAGGGGACAAGTCAGCAGCAGGGAAGGACACCTGGGTGCTCGGGGCTCTGTCCTCACCGCGGGAACCACCACAGGCCCAGTGTAGGGGTCTCACCCTTGGGACCCTGTCAAGCCCCACCCCTGCCTGGGCCTGAGGAAACTTTGAAATGGCGCAGGCGACAGTCACACGGACAGAGCTGAGGGTCCCAGCCAGGGGTCTCCCCAGCAGGTGAGCCTCTCCCTCCCCCCGAGAATGGCAGGGACCACCCCCCACACTCAAGCTGAGGCTCCTCCAGCACTTTTTCTGAGGGGCGGGGTAAGTCACAGCCAAGCCCCCACCCCCACCCCAGCCTTAGATGTGAAAGGCCTGCCTGGTTGGGGAGCACACCTCTACGGCCCCAAAGTTCACCAACAGGAGCGCACCAGAGCGCCTGGCAGGTCCAGGCCCCTGAGCTCAGTGTCTACGGGGATGCTGCTCATGGAAGGAGGCCTGGGGAACCAGCAGGGTGGTGCCCCAAGTTGCTGCCCGCTTTAGGGACCTCCCCCCACCCCCGCCTGGGAGAGCTGGTCCTGGTCCCCAGAGTCCAGGCCACTCCCACCAATGCCACACTCTTCCCCTGCAGAGCCTGAGGCAGGGCACGCCTGTGGCTGAGGCCTGGCTGGACTGTGCTGGGGACGTGTGTCCCGTGTGACCGGACACACGTCCAAGCATAACGCACAGCCCCTCGTACACTAAGGCCCGGCCTCCACCCCCTGCTGGGTGTAGCCGCCTGAACACCCATCACACACGGTCAGGCCACTCCTGACCCCCGCGGCTCCATCACTGTGCACTGCCCCTGAGCCCCGGGGCTAGGCCAAGCTCCTTGAGGGCCTGAGAGGTGACGGCCCAGGGTCTAGAACCAGTCTGGACCTCAGGGTGGGGTCCCTTGCCGCACACTCGACCTGGGAGGGACGACAGACGGCACAGTGGTAGAATCAGCGCTCCTGGGTCCCGGCGCTGCCCCCACTTTGAGAAGGGACCGCGGCCGTACCGAGCCACGGGGGAGCGGGGGGATGAGCTCCCGTGAGATGGCTGTGACCCTCCAGGAGGAGGGAGCCCCTGCTGACCCAGCAAACCAGGGCGGACACGGGCTGCCTTTCTCCCTTCGGCTCCGGACCCCCGAGGTCAGGGGTGGGTGTGGGAGGAGGCTGCTGGTCCAGGTGCCCCAGGGCAAGGGCTCTTCCCGGACAGCCTGGCCGCGAGAGTGGGGTGGGGGACCCCAGCAACCAGCCCTGGCCCCTCACAGCCCTGAGGAGGCTTCTTCCTGGGGATGGTCAGTCCCCGCCCCGTCCCATGCAGAGCCCCAGGCGCCTCCACGCCTGCCCACCACCTCCCCCAGCATGCTGTGCGGAAGTGAGGGCGTTCACTGTTGTCGCTGTGCAAACCCAAAACAAAATGCCTACTGCTCGCGCACATGATCCTCAGCACTTAGAGCTTTTAGGGACATTAAGTGGGTGTTAAAGGAAGCCTAGAAAGCACTTTAAAATCTTCCACTCGTTCCCCGGACGTGAATTTGCCATCGCCCCTGACTGTGAGCACTTGTTTATTCGACGGCTTGAGGATGGCTCACGGGGCGCTTCTGCCCGTGGCACGGGGCTGTGGCCGCCACATCTGGCAGCCCAGAGGGACCGCTTCCTCTCTAAGGAGGCCACGCAGCCCCGATCCCCCTTCCTCCAGCTCTGGCATGGAGCAGGGACGGCGTGTCTGGAATGGGGGAGTGTGCTGGCCCTGAGCAGACACCGCCCCGCCCTTCCTGGGATCCATGTGCCCCAAGAAGCTGATGGGGTCCCAGGGTGAGACTGGGGAAGAGGACAGGGCGGGGCTGCAGATGCTGGGAAGAAGGCGTCTGCTGTGCACGGCCCCTTCTGGGCGGCCTGAGTTCGGTCTGCAGCTTGCGAGGGCTACTCTCAGGGGACACGAAGCCCCCCCGCTTCCACCTCAGACAAGGAAAACGGGAGAAGAGCCGGAGGCTCACTGGGAAAGGAGCCTCCACAGGCCAGCTCTCGCTGGGAATCCCGAGACTCGGGGAGACCAGGCCCCCGGCGCCCCCAGGATGGGACTGGGCACAGACGCCCAAGAGCCGGTGACAGCCCACGCAGTGGGCGGTGGGCGTGGGTGGGAGGCGGTTGTCTTTAAAGAGTCAGCGATCTGGGTAAAGATCCATTAAAATTAAGTTAACAGAAGAAAGCCATCATTCCTTCGCTAAGCAGCTGGGTGAGCGGGGTCGGCGGGCGCTGGTGCATGACCACAAGTGTATCTGTCCTCCGGGCTGTCCCCCGGCCAGCCTCAGGCCAGTCTGCTCAGGAGGGAGCAGAGATGCCACTGGGCTGCGAGGTCTCCTTCTGACGCTCCCCAGGAGGGCCCCACTGAAACCCTCATCTCTTCTGACCACCCGACCCGCTCAGCCAAGGAGTCCCCACGGGCTCCCAGCCGGGCCTCAGTGAGCCATTCCTACTCAGGCAAAGAGCCTCGTCAAGCTGGAACCAAGTTCCCTACCACTAACCCCCACGGGCGGCTTGTCCCTCAGCCAGCCTGACCCCGTGCCCTGGCACTGGGGACGATGTCTCTCGTTTGACCCAGGCCCGGAGGACGGGTCACTCGCCGCCCCAGCCCTCACCAGCCCCGCCGGCAGCGGCCTGCGGAGTCTCCCAACTCCTCGGGCCAGAGCCCCAGACGGGCCACATGGCACACTCCTCCCTTACTCTCCCTGTGGCTGCATGGCCTCCAGGTTCAGATGCAAACACCTGATGAGACCCCAGGCTCTGGACCCCAAAGCCCAGCTCAGAGAAATCATGATTTATCCAACACAGCCCAGGCTCTGGCCACGGGACCCATGTGACGGGTTATGTGTTTGGTCACACCCACTTCTTAGGTCCCAGGGCACACACGACGGGCATACAGGGCCTAGAGGCCCACTGCTTGGGAACACCTACGTGCCCCACACCCCCACCCGCACCGGGAGCCACCTGAGGTGGCCGGGGGTGGGGCGCTGTGTTTCCTCCACTGATTTCAGCCATGCTTTCTCCCTGTGCTCCGCAAATTCCCGTTGTGAAGTCCTAACCTCGGAACTCGGACTTCTGGCCTCCAGAGCGGTGAGGCCGTGAAGTCCTGCCGCGGAAGCCCGCAGTTCGGGGGCTTCGTTACGGCTGCCTCTGCGGACCCGAGCACCCCCTAAACTGCACCGTCCAGCTGGGCGTGTGTTCTGAACTTGAAACAAATGGTGTGTGCCCTGTGACATCCGAGGCTACGTCTGAGAGTCACCACCCGCCCCAGGACAAACAGCGGCGGCCCCCATTTCTGCCACTCGCACGGCCAAGGGCCCTCGCTCCCGTCCTTCCTGCTTGCCGACGGCCAGTCTCACATCTGGTCGGGCAGGCCGGCCTCTGCTGACCCCTCTCCTTTGGACCCCTCGCCCTCCATCTGTACTGGAAGGGGCTGTGTGAACCGGCACAGCACTGGAAGGAAACCGTGTCTTCCCATCAGGAAGCTCTCCAACACACGTCGCTGCGTTTATATAAAGGCGATTCTTCCTTTTCAAAACGTCTCTAATTTCTTCAGTAAAGATCTGTCGTTTTCCGTTGGGTTTACTCCAAGGTGCTTTACTTTTTGGTAGCATTTATTACAAGTGGCATCTTCTTAAAAACGCTGCTTGCAGGGAGCCCCACAGCTGCTCCCTGACGGGAGCCTTACCACCAGCCTGTGGGCACGCTGGGGGTGCCGCGGCCTGTCTGCTGAGCAGCACCTCATCTGGGCCTCAGACTGCGCCCCGGGGGCAGAGAGTCCCCTGGGTGTCACATCACCTTCGTCGGCAGCCACAGGGGGCATCCCAGCGGTGCAGAGGCACAAGGCAAGCAGGGCCATGCTGGGCTCACTTGTCCCAACAACCAGCCACCAAGTCGGAGACGGAGGACCCAGGCGGGACCTTCTGGTGACCTCTGCAAGGTGCGGCTGCCAGGATGATCTGCCATCCAGCCCAGTCCGGCGTCCCCTCACCCCTGGGGAGCACCTGCCGTGTGCACACAGGGGAGCAGCTGAAGGTGTCAACGAGGACAATGACAAAGCGGCAGCACCACAAATCGTCGGCACGGGGCACCTTTCCAGCTCGCACAGTTCCCTATGCCAGCACTCCAAGACCCTGTACGGGGTCAGGGCATGTTTCTGAGACCCCTCCCCACCGCACCCCCATAATGCCAGCCAGCCGGGTGAGGAAGCAACTGGATCGGACTCCCAAGAGCGGGGACCCTGTGGCCACGGTGACCGCTGGCTCCTCCCGGCAGCTGGGGGTCAGGAAGGAGACCCCCAGGCCTGACTGACCTTCCATGGCCTCAGCCTCCCGACCCTGCGGTGGCGCTGACTGCGGCTCCTCCTCCTCCTCCTCGGCGTCCGCCTCCTGCGAGGCCTCCTCCTTCAGGCCGCCAGGCTCCTCCAGGAGGGTGGCCCCGGTGGCCCCCTCCCCTGGCGACTTAGGGTCTTCCGGTTTGGGCTTCTTAGGCTGGCTCCTTTTCCGGTGGGACCTGGAGAGGGACGGTCATCAGACAGGAGGTCAAGTGACTGGGAGAAGTCCCATCTGTGTGCCCCACCACCCAGCTGGCAGAACAGAGCCCCGGAGGGTGCCCCAAAGTCACAGGGCCCAGGGCTAGCGTGGCTGGCTCGGGGGTTGGGGACGCGGAGGGGGGACAGGCTCGGGGGCCACTGGGGCAAAGTGGGTGCTGATGACCAGGAGGTGGGATGGTGGGGGACGCTGGCTCGGGGGCAGGGAAGTGGAGGGGGGACAGGCATGGGGGCCACGTGGGGCAGAGCGGGTGCTGATGACCAGGAGGTGGGATGATGGGGGGGGGGCGCTGGCTCGGGGACAGAGAGGTGGAGGGGGGCCGCGTGGGGCAGAGCGGGTGCCGATGGCCGGGAGGTGGGATGGTGGGGGGTGCTGGCTCGGAGCCGCTGTGTGGGGGGGCAGAGGCGGGGGGGGCGGGTGGAGATGCCTGCACACAGGGACAAGGTGGACTTACGGCGGCCCCGGCCTCCTGGTCTGCTCTTTCTTCCTTTCTAGACTGGCCTTTCTGTCCTCCTCAGTCTTTCTCCAGTGTCTGTTTTCTTTCAGACTAATTTGTCTAGAACGTAAACGTCAGGGAGTTTTGCTCTAGCACTTCTGCTGACTCCCCGGACGCCTCGTCTAAGGGCCTGGCCTTGGGCACCTGCCCGAACCCGTGCTCCGTGTCCCTTACTCGCCGGTCGCCGGGGTAGAGCCCAGCCTCGCTCAGGGCTGTGACCATCTGGGGGTGGCCCTCGGCTTTCAGCCCCAAGTGAGAAGTCACCTGAGGCTCAGCGATGGCTTCTCAGGGCAAACCGGAGAGAATCGGTTAAAAAAGAAGGAAGGAATACAACCAGGCTGGATGGAACTGTAGATCAGCGGCCCGGGCCTCCCTGTTCAGCCCTGGGAACTTTCCAAGGAGGGGACAGAGGCTGGGATGTGGAGAAGCCTGCTTGGGGCAAGTCACTGGCACCCTCCAGGGGTTGGGGTGACACCCCTGTGGGGCCTCAGGCTCAAGCCTCAGAATCCACTAGCCTTTCTTCTCCCTGAGGGTCAGCAATGCCAAGAGAGGCGCTGGCTATGGCTTCCCTCCCTCCAGGGGCTCTCTGTGTGGCCCCAGTGAGGTCAGTTTGGACACGGAGACCCTATGAGGGTCCCCGTGGCAGCCGCACCTCCAAGGACCAAGAGGTCACCAAGCAAAGCAGGGCCTTGTGACTGGGGCTGGGTGGGCGGCCCGGGGAGGCCTTGAGGGCTCCCAATGCCAGGACCCCCATCTCCCACCAGGGGGTGCCCACGACAGCCCTGCTGTCCCAGGACGCAGGGACCTGAGAGCTGCCTCACCACCTTCCCCATGCCTGCCCCTGCCGGCTCCTGGGGGGCCTCTCCTAACTGTCCCCTAACGCTAACTGCTGCCGGTCCTTCTCACTGCTCAGCTGCCTCGCTTGAGGGCCCCTGGCTTGCCACTGCTCCTCTCTCCTGAGCCCGGGCAAGGCCAGGCTGACAAGCCCCGGGTGATGCTTGCACATGAGCCACTCCAATGACCAAAGGTGGAAAGCAGGGAGCATTCCGGGGGAGGGAGTGTCATGGGCAGAGGCATGACGTTACACACATCATGGCGTGCACTGCGGGGGGTGCGGG